AATGAGTAGACAATAGGCCTTTCGCCCCAAGATAAATTGAAAACAAGGCTAATGCAAAATTTTGGAGGGACAACAAAGAGTATTATGATATTTTTAAAAAAGGCCTATAGTAGTGAAGGAGGCTCAAGAAGGTCCCGACCAATCACAGCGCAGCAGAAATTTTCTCGACCAATCAGCATCGAGTATTTAGCCCATGTGACCATGATGACGTCAAAGCTCCCATATTTGGGCATAAAAATCACGTGACCCACCCAAGAGGTGGATCCACATACTTGGCATAGTTTTAAAGGACCGCGTAGAACCTGGGTACAAACGGGGCGCATACGCAACTCAACCCCAATCCCCTCGCATCCCCCAAAGTCAATAAAACACACTGTATTGAGGACAAAATCACTACATTGGTTTTAATGAACGTACCGCGTAGAGCCTGGTTACAAGCGGGACGTGTGTGACGTCCGAATGACGTCACGCCCTTGACTTTAATAGGTAAACATAAGAAAGGGTGTTTGCCACTTGGCTATTGAAGTCATGTGATGCGGATGTGGCCATGGAATATAATGATTGAATCCTGCGAATGACCACGGTTTGAGTAAATGAAAACGTAAATTGGAATGGGCGGCTGAAACGAATTAAAAGGAGGGGTGATTAGAGCCAAGAAGCAAACTGAATGAGAAACAGTCGACCATTGCCACGCACGAGGCGGTGGGTTATTGTCCAATGATTGACTGGAAAAAACAAAAAAGACTTAATTACAAAGTGGGACGTGTGTGACGCCCTCGTGGTGTCACGCCCGGAAAAGATTGTACACAAAACAATTCGATTAAAATCCAATCTTGGTTAAAATTAAAATGTTGTAAGATCCAAAGCGTTTCTAGGAAAAAAATTAACGTTTTAGTTTGAACAGATAGAGTAAGCTGGACCATCCTTGATGATTGACAATACAAAGTTTATGAGGGATGGGCCAGCTTCGGAAAATCATGACATCTTGTAAGACCCAAAAAGAATCTAAAAATAGATTTAAAAAAAAATAATCATGAACATCCAGCAGGGGTGGCGCCACCATGCAGACCTCCCCCTGCCGGGTGTTCAAAATTCCCAATCCATACTGTCCATCATCGCACAGCCTCGACAAGGTTCATGGAGGGTGGTTACGTGCCGTAAATAAATCCAGCA